ACTGTATTCTTAATCCTGATTATTTTGCATAGCGTAGGTATTCCTGCAGAAGTCCATGGCACAGTTTATGAAATTAAAGGAATAGATCCACAAATACCAAAGGCCAGCTCTGCCATTTTTTAAGGGACGCCATCTGAACCTTTTGTAGACTGATATGTGAGGAAGTTGTTAAATGTCTGATCTAGAGTGAATCGCTGTTCTCTTATCCAGTCCATAAAATGACATATTTTCAAGGGTACTTTTGAGAATTCTGTTTCTCTCCCTTCTCTTCAAATAATGACCTTCAGCTGTTGCTTTCTGTGTTCCCTTTCTGTGAAAGCATAGGCAGAACTCTTACTAGAATAGAGCTGGAAACCTCTCAAACTCTTGATAGTTCAGTTTGGCAACAACCTGAAATTTCCATGTGCTTTCCTGAATTTTGGTAGGTTGGATATTTTGAAAAGCTGTTTTTCCCCCCCTTAATTTATTGAAAGATTTCCAGTATTTTCTGTGGACTGGAGTGGCACAGGATATACTTTATTTTTTATGTTCCCTGTTGCCTTCTGGAAGTAGTTCCAGAAGCATGTATTTGTTTAATTTTAGATAGCCATTGAAAGGAAGTGAAGCAGTTTAGTAAGCCTGGTATGAAATCATAGATCACCTTCCTCAGAGCACAAAACTCTGATCATTAGGCTGGAGCCAGGCTCCTTCTTACTTGTTTTACCTCCTATCAGCTTTCAGTAGAGTCCACTACCAGCAAGAAGGAAAAGGAGAATATCTACATGCCCAGTACCCAGCAGCTTTATGCTCAGGATGGCTTAGGAGGCAGGAACTAGAGATCTATCGCTCTCCTACTTTCTCCTACATTTACCCCTAGCCTTTACCACAAAATGTGGAATTTAGTCCTTACGCTTCTCTTCAAGAGACATAATGGACAAAAGATACTTGCTCTGAGGCCCTGATCTACCTATGTAGACATATTCCCTTCCTGATCAGCTCTAGATCTCTCCTTACAGTAGGTTTGATTGTGTACAGATGTGTATATTCACTTTTTATAATGAGTGTACTTTAATGTAGGCTTTTTGGCTTACCCTCTGGAGGACGTGGGTGCCATCCATCTTTCCTAACCCCTCAGGGAGATATCTGTCACATTACTGGACATCCCAAGGAGCATAATCTTTTTTACTCAGTAAAGTTGCCACGCAGAATTTGGGAAAACTGTGTTTGTCAACAAGATTTGGTGACTTGGAGGGAGTGACTTGCTCTGGAATAATTTCCCAAAGCTGCTGGGTTCTGTGCAGCAGTAGAGAGAGCAGAGAGGAATCATGAACCCTGGAAATGCTAGGTTTTGTCTCTTCTTTGCTGAACATCTGGTGATAGTAGGAAGTCTGAGAGACTCACTGAGAATGAACTTTACACTAGTTTTGTGTTTATAGAGTGATGATGTGTCCTAGAATCATTGAGGTTATCCTGTCACTGTTACTGGGCACACAAACATCCATTTTTCTCGTGGAAATGCTAGACAACTGTGTGGTGGCCTTGAGATAAGGGATGCAGCTGTGTTTCTCATGGCAATTTTTGCCCTGATCTCCACCCCTCATCTCATACTCCTCAATTTATGTATGTATTTCTTATGTAAGGAAGCTTCCTGGCCATCTCTACATATATTCAAACCTGTGAGGTATTTGGTACAGTGTTAGTGGAATACAATTAAATTTCATAAAACCACTGTTCGGAATTGCCCCTCTTCACCCTGGGTAACAGTAACGGCAAAAATTATGAGCTGCTTCCACAGTTAGTTTCATCCTACTTCCTTTTTAAAATTTTGAATAACACATACAACCCATAGATTACCTTCTTCAACAATTTTAATATTTAAAGACCTCTATAAATCCTCAAAGCTGGTATTGTAAAGCTGCAACCAATTTAAAGATTGCTTGGAGTTAAAATTAGTGGTAATGTTGTGGTAGGGTCTGCACCATATCCCAGGAATGGATTCCTGCTCTAACAACATGCAGTGTTAAGTTAGATACAGTTTCTGACCCAAAGAAATTGCAGCTCAAGTAGACCAAGTAAGGGCACAGTAACAATATACACGTAGTGTTCGTAAATGCTATGGTACTTTAAAGTGTATTTACTTCTTTATTGTTTGGGAGGAATTTAAACAGCCAGGAATTAGTCAACGTGAAAGGTAGAAGTATCAAAAGGGTGGGGAAGAAAAGGCTCATGTTAGCAGAGAAGAAAATGGAGGAAATAGACTGTGAGGAGCTGGAGGCTCAAGACTCTAGAAGACATATAAAAAGGGAAGGTGGAGTAGAGTCCAGGTAGACCAGGGAAATAGTGGAAAATAGCAAAATAGTTCACAGATGTTATTAACTGGGCTGCTGAATCAGTTGGGCCTGCATCTGTGGATCCTAGGAGCCTCTTGGACTGGAAATCCAGACCAGCCCGCTGTTTTGAGGTGAGAGAGCTCCCCCAAACCCAAACAGGTTCAAGATCCTCCACAGTAGAAAACCGTTCACTCCTACACAGCTACAGATCTTGAAGCTCACCACCCTTAATATCTTTCTCCCAACTCAGTGTTGTGTGGTAACCTGGGTATCTATGACAAGGAAGCATTACCAATGTATTTCAAAGTAGCTTGCTCTCTAGTACATGATATGCTGAAAGAGATACATTCTCAGCGATTTTAGAAAATGAAGTATTAGTTCATTCTTTCTGAGTAAGGGTAACTATAGATTTAGTAAGAAAATTCCAGGATTATTAGATAGTTACTTAAATGTACTTACAGTATTTTGTACTTTGAAAAATCCAGATAATTTCTTTGATTGCTGTGTGCACTTTGCCAAGATTTCTGCAATTCAAACAGAGAAATTGACAGACTAGAATTTTTTTACAGTTTATTATTCTTTCTCCTCTGAGAGTTACCATCAGTCTTTCCTATGTGAAACTACTACAGTGGTTTGAGGATTAATTCTGAGGACTTTTGAAACTATACCTCTGAAATGTGCCATGTTTGAGAGGGAAGCCTAATGCCAATTCCTGTCTCATGATTTGTTCTTGACCTTTGGTTGTGGTAGTCTTTTTAAGGACAAAGGGTAAGTTCAGTCTTCATTTCTAAATCCCTAAAAAATTTCACTTCTGAGATTCTGAGAAAGCAAAAGGTAGGGAAGAAAAATGAAAGAGCAAAGTAAATAGCTCGGATCAGCTGGCCACCTTCCACCTTTCTTCTTTTGAAACAGCACAGTTTGATATCTGTTATCAAACTGACGCCTTAAAGAACCTAGAAATAAAACAACACACTTTCAAGACAACATTAGTGTAGGAGGTAATATAAAGGCTGATCTTCACTGGAGGCCTCCAGGAGGAGATATAGAAAATGCCCACCCCCACACAGAGTAAAAACAGTTTTATAGGTTTAGCAAATTAGCATAGCTAACAAAAATCTCCAATTAGAGACAGAAGTAGTAAAGTAGTTCTCGCTTGGTTCAACCCTTTTCTAAACCCTCACTGCCCTTAGATAGGAACTAAACTTTTTAAATGAAAATGTGTCTTGAAGAGCTGGTTTCAACCTTGGCTCCTAGGAAGAACCTGGACCCCCGGGCTTGGAGCCTCCGGAATGTATTTTGTCCTTCTGCCTATCAGGGAAAAACGTTGGGAAAGGTACTGGGCCTAGCTAGGAACTATATAGTTATACAACAATAGAGCTATGAATATATTTTAAGGAAATATAAAAGCAAAAAGGCAAAATTCATTTTGGCATCACAACAATTAACTTCATAAACATCCACTCCTTTTTGGTGAGCTCACACAGCATAGAAAAAGGAGAACAAACTGCCTGCTCAGTCAAGAACCTTCCTAGAAAGAAAAGGACTAGAAGTGTCCTCTTATGCCCTCTGGGCTTAAGATTCAAGTCTTTTTCCAGTTCTGATACAGTTGGGCAGGGCTCTTAAAAAATGTACTAACTCAGTATGGTTGTAATTTTTTTTCTTTCTCAGTCTCTCCAACCCAATCTGACCATTACGTGTATCCTGCACAGATTTTCCCTGTCCTTGTGTTTATGATTGAAATATATTTACTTTGGTAATAAAAGTTATGAAGCCTGTAGAAATGAACATTCATTTTAAAGGAAGAGATAAGTGGATTGTCAGGTTTCCTAGCTGAACAGTGTTGGCAACACTCATTTGGGTATTTGAATATTTGGTAGGCTGAAGAGCATTACACCTCTGAAAGAATGAGTCCTCCAGCCTGAAAAGTCTAGCCCTGTGTTTAGAAGGGTATTGGTCTGTGGTCTAAACAGCAGGGGAAAGTAACAACAATCTAAATGGCATCTTGATTTCTTCGATGCAAGGAGCATGTTCCTGTTGTCTTCTTTCACTTTCTGGTGGCTGTCTTGTTTAGCCATGGTAAACTACTGCCATTTAAATAGTATGCCCATATGTTGTCCCTTCATAGTTCCTAGCTTTATCAATCTGTTACATCTCCTCAGTATTACCAGAGTTCACAAGGTTGACATTGGCTCCATTATTTGAGACTGATACATAACAGTCCTTGTAATTTTCTACTGCTTGCATGATGGCAGAAATGTTTCCTGCCATATCTAAAATCTAGGGAAAATGTTTGCTGTATGATTTCCTTACTTGCAATCCTTAGGACTGAAAATAGTTTAATAAATACTTAATATTCTGTTTCATTTTTTATCCTCATAGCTGGGGAAGACAAAAAATGCCAGAAATATGGTATTAGCAATTACTCTTGTCAGATGAGAAGGGAGAGTGGATTGAGGAAAACCTCTGAGAGAGAGTTTGGATTTGATGAAACTTCTTGTTCAGTTAGAAGATAATAAAACCAGTTCTGACAAAGATAAGATTTGCCTCAACTTGAATTTCTTTAACACCCACACCATATATCCCTGTATCACAGATTTTGGTCTTGTTTTTATTTCACCAAGCATATTCCTTCTTTGAATTTTGATCTTACTCTTTTCATGTTTTAACTGTTCTTTCCTCTGTTTTTCACAGACTGTTTTTGAGAGGAACTGTCAATCTGATGACTGTGCTGCTGATTTGAAACTTCAGGGTAAATTATTGCTATCAAGGTGAGTAGATGAACTTTTATTTTCTTTCTTGCACAGTAGTATGCCATTCATTCTATGTGGAATGGCATTGGAAAGTCAAAATACAAACAGAGATGTTTTAGATCCAGACTAAAGGTGAAAGCGATGTCACCTTTAAAAAAAGGTCTTGAGATGTTCACAGAATCTGAACTCTTGTGATGGTGGGCTCTGGTCATATAAAGTGCAAGACACCTTCACCTTAACAGTCACAGTGGACAAAAATAGAGACAATAAATAGAATAGCAGAGAGAGACAAAGAAAGTAAAGATGCATGCTCGAATCAAGTATCAATGTGGAGCACATAATTTTTCAAAGAGAATAAAACACTGTTCATGACATGGTAGGAGTAAAACTGCCTGCAGAAAAGTAGTTTGTTCTGTCACACGTAAGGTTTCAAAAGACCCCTCTGAACATGGTAAATATCTTCAAACTATTGCTTTCTGTTTCTCAACATGCAGTTTTGCAAACTCTTCTAAATACTCCACCTTTCAAATTTTTCTTGTTGCAACTTGGGGATGAGTGTCTGATTTCAGGGATAATAAAACTAATCAAATAGACCAGAGTTGAAGTTTATGTTCTGTCTCTTGTGACTGGTGTTATGAGTAAGGTGTGGTGGTTGGCTCATGCAAATGAGTAGGAATTGTTGAGTGTGGTGGGGAGAAGTTCTTTTGGGGTTGGCGATTCTTTTGACATATATGTTTTGTTGTTCCAGTGTGAGTTTGAACCCTTTTCTATTCTCCCTTCAATCCTCCTCGCCCTCTGAGGTGTCTGCCTGGCAGCTCTGATGGACAGGACTGTTGGGGCATGTGGGGAAGGCGTTTGCTTGCCCCTTGTGGGAGACGGTGGGGAGTGGGGGACACTTGTTGCTGGGAGGCCTGGTAGGGTATCATCACACCACCAATCAAGATGCGAGAAGAGCTCCATCAATGAAAGGCATGGAAGGACATATAAGGACAGCTAATAAATATTAATGAGGCTGATGCACTCTTGGATGTATAAAAAGGTGGAGACGCTGCTTTGTAAGCTGAGCAGAAGGAGTCTCACTATGCTTCCAGCACTGTCATCCCGCTTTGCTTTTTAATTTTAATGGGTTCTAATTAAATTTTATTTATTCATTCCTGTCTGGGGTCTTGAGTAATTCATAATACTGGTGATCCTAGGAAAAAGCCTATTGTTTTGCCTGGACATGTACTCAATTTGAGGGTAAATCACACTAAAGGTGAGCATCGCATAACTTCTGTTTCCCTTTTTTTCCCCAGTATTTTTAGAGATGGAAATGCTGATGAGAGTTATTTAGTTTTATGCCAGAGATTTTGCTATTTGATGGAGAATCTGTGAAATGCTTTGCTTTCAGGTCAGGAGAGAGAAAGACAAAAAAGAAACAACCCAAACAAAACAACAAAAATAGAAGAAATAATAGTTACAAACGTTTTATAACGATCTACAGCATGCTGTAACAGTACTTAGAGACAAAACTGAACCAGAGTCAAGTCTGAGAAGTTACAGACTTCTCCAGACAGGACTGAAATCTGCATGAATGTTTTGGGGGATTGGCTGGGAGCAGGTTAGGTTACAGGCTGCAGAGTCCAAGGTTTGACTGCAGTTAGTCTGGATATTTGACTCAGTTTTTGTGTTGAGCAAAATCTGTTGAGAACTAGATCAGTGTCTGTGTGGATTAGAGAAGGTAGTGAAGGATTTTGTGCCACAGTTGAGGAATAAATAGCAAGAGACAAATCCTAAAACTTGTCAGTCAGTGTATAGTAATCATTGCAGTAAGAGCTGCAGTTGGGATTGGACCATTAGGCTGTTTATTTTTACAGTTGTTATTTATATTATCTTGGCTATTTATAAGTCCCACCTGTCATAAGATCTTATCAAATACAGTTTCTACATTTGTATAGCAGAATATTCAACAAATGCTCTCAAATTTGCTTTATTTCAAAAAGGACTTCAGGTTGTCACTGAGTAAACAGGCTTCAGTTATTAAGAAATAGCACAATGAATATATCTTACAAAAACAGATTCCTGTTATTATTGCATATAAAATTACCAAGAAACATGCTATGGATTCTGATTTTAAACAAGTGCTTTCTTGAATTTTTCCAGCCCCATGTGTTTCATGCAAAATAATCCTATCACAATTTTTCCACATTATTCTTGATTATGATAAGTGTGTGCAGAAAGCAAATTTTTTTTGAAAGAGCAAAAAATATGACTCATTTATTACTATCTGCACAAAACATTTGACTTCACTGTCAGCAAGGTTATCTTAATACCTTTGTCTAAATAATCACCTAAATTTGGTGGACTTATTTTCAGAAAGGATGCAATTAATGCTGTACAGATACACTGAATTGAAATGAACAGGATGTTTATAGGAAGGCAGTGATAAGTTCTATCTCTCAGGTCTGCTGCAGCTCTTTGAAAATGTCACTGGACCTGTGGATAGGGTGGTTTTGTTAAGATTGTCTACTTTGGCTGGCAAAAGACTTTTTCACTAAGAAAGTTAGTTGCCCAGATCTGAAAGAAATGGCGCCGTGAGTACTACTACCTAATTAAAAGATAGTCAACAGAGAAAAGGTGTAAAGAGTTGGTTTTGGTGATGGAGAAAGCTGTGCAAGTGCTAGTGGTATTCAGCATATTCAAAAATTATTTGTGAAATAACCTGCTAGAATTGAATAGCAAGATGATAATGCTTGCTAATCCTATTAAACTATTTAGAGCAATCAAAGTAACAAACAAGGAGGTATGCTTTCATGAAGTGTGTGATTCATCTGTGGATTTTACTGTTTGGGATACTGTAAATGCTGAGACTGTATATAGTAGTGAAATGGCAAATACAAATTCTGAAAGCTGCAGTAATGTATCAGCAAAATGCCACTCTGTACTTGTCTTGTTCTTCCATCATTGTCCTGCTTTTAGACATAGTTGGACACAGGACCCTTTGCTACATAAAGTGGCTTACACACTTGTCTTAAATTTGTATCATGTTAGAACCAAAAGCTGTTAGGAGTTCATACTATACCTTGCTGTATATGGCAAGGTATATTTTCGTTCATCACTATATATGCTTTCAAATGCATGCTGGTTACAGCATATATGTGCATAGGAAGTTAGCTCAGATTACATTATCATTAAGAGAATTGTTGGCATTCTTATGTGCTCAGGAAATGCACAAGCTACTGTGATACAGAGTTCACCCATAATGCATTTGAATCATTAGAATTACCCAGTTGAAGATATGAAGCCCCAGCCTGCAACCAAGCACTATACAGCCACTCCCTCACTCTTCCACCAGAGGGATTGGGGTAGAAAATCATAAGGGTAGAAGCTAGAAAACCTGTGGGGTGAGATAAAGACAGCTTCTTACAGGAAGCAAAATCTGTGCACACAAACAAAGAAAACTAAGGAATTAAGTCACCACTTCCCACTTCCCATGGGCAGGCAGGTGTTCAGCCATCTCCAGTGGTGCAGGGCCATCACACATTACGTTGACTTGGGAAGACAAATGCCATCACTCCAAATATCTCCTTTTCCTCCTTCTTCCCCCCACTTTATATACTGAGCATAATGTTATATGGCATTATCAGTTGGGGTCACCTGCTCTACCTGTGTCTCCTCCCAACCTCCCATGCCACCCCCTGCTTCCTTGCTAGCGTGGCAGTATGAAAAGCAGAAAAGGCCTTGGCTCTGTGTAAGTCTGGCTCAGCAGTAACACAATTATCAAGCCTCTGTTCTGCACAAAAAACTATTTATATTTTTTAATATATAAATATTAAAAAATATAAATAGTGCTGCTGGGCAAGCTGAAACCCTTCAATGTGAATTCATAGAAGAGGACAGGATAGGACTGTTTGGAAGCAGGTGATGATAAAAAAATGTTAAAGCCTTCTAACTTTATCTGGAAATTTTTGCAAAGATATAGGAAGCTAGAGATGGGATGTGTTCTTCTTCTGAATGTTTCTGTTACAGTGAAAGGAGTCCTTTGTGACTGGGGTGAAGACTAGGGTTACATGCTGTATTGGATTGAAGAAGAGTTAAGATGCATTTTTTCTGGAAAGAAAAAAGGTTGGTTTTCAGTTAACAGACAAATCTTTTTAAGGCTTGTGCACCTTCATTAGCATCAGTTTGCATGCAAACCCATCCCAGCTTCCTGAAGGGATTGCTGGACAAAGGAGCCAGCAATCTTGTTGCTTGTGACAGATGGTAAGCAGGGTCATGGACTGTGGCTTGGCTGGTTCAGACCAGAGATTTGGAAAGACCGTCTTGTGTAGGCAGTTCATGCTGCTCAGGAGTAAGATGTGCTGAAATGACATGCTGTGCCATCCTGGGTTTTAGGACTAGTCTGGATAAGGTCCCTGCTGACCTCATTTGTTGCTGTGTTGAGTCGTGTGTTGACGAGGATCAGAATGGATTTTCTGACCTTTAGAAATCCCAACCAGCTTTTCTTTAGTGTTCTGACTTTTATTGAGGTAAATCCTGTCTGTAACATAAGCAAAACTGCTTCAACAAAATCATCCTTTCTTCAACATGGAAACATCTGAGCAGGATGCTCCGCCATACTGGCTGGAAACTTGCTGGTGGAACTCCATGCCTCTCGCTGATGCCATCTTTCCAGCAAGAACATGCAGCTTCACTAGAGGGGAAGACTGGACCTGGAAAAGCAAACCATTAGGACTGAACTCTATGGCAGACGTTATGAGCTAGCATGTAGGAACACTACAGTGGTGTGTGCTAGTATTGCTACAAATGTTCTTCCTAGTGGTTGGCCTGGATTTTCTCATAGGAGTATGAATGTTGCTAGCCTGAAACTATAGATGGAAATTAAGAATAAGGAAAAAGTAGCCATGGAGTGTGCTGGGGACTTGATGAAGGCAGCATTAGGAGAAACTGAAGGAGCAGAAGAGAGGCATTTCATCTTTCCAGTCATGACTGTTCTCAAATCAATTTTTCTTAAAAGAATAAATACATGAAGTTTTGGC